CGAGTCAACGTGACATTGCGTACTTTCTCTTTTTCTCTGTCCTTCTTTCTCTCTTTCTATATTCCTCTCTCTCTCTCTCTCTCTCTCTTTCTCTCTCTCTCTCTCTCTCTCTCTCTCTTACTTTCTCTTTTCCTCTCTTATTTTCTGTACCACGATAAATGACTTTTCTCTGGAATTCTATTCGACTTAACCACACACATACGCTCATATATGTATACGTCTCTATGTAATAGGTACCTTCATACATATATACGTATATGTATGTGGACGATCTAGCGATAAATGATCCAGATAAAACGCGTACGTGGGGAAATCAAAATTCAAGGTCGGTTCCCGTTTTATCGCTAAGATACTTTACATTGATGCGATGGTAGAATTACAAAGAGAGAAAGAATATAGGTTAATGAAATTGTGTATTTTTTAAAGGAAAAATCGTTAGAGTATTAGACGAGATCAAATAATTAAATCTTTTTATCAAAAAAGTCAGATAAATCTGATTAAATTTTGCTAAGAGATAAGACATTTCAATTTGTTGATCGTAGATAACGTTTTAATGAGAATGAAAGATGGTAAATTCGTTTGAAAGAAAATTTTATCACGATAAGTAAATACTATAATTTTTTTTTTTCCTTCCTTTCTTATATTGATAACGGCAAAAGATACAACACAAAAATTTTCGTTACAACGTTGAAGTATTAATGAAAAAGGGGGAAAAAAAAGAAGAAGAAGAAGGAAAAAAAGGGAAGTACAATAATTAATTAATCCTTATAATCCGACCTTTTTCTATTGATTTTCTACTTTTTAACGAGAATAAGAGCATCGTATTTATTTTATAAATTATATCAAATAATAGAGGAAATTATACGTCGATCTAGTTGTCGTATGGAAATAATCATATTTCTGAAGGGTTCCCTTTGAAACAGTACTCTTCGTAATGCAAAAGCGTTAGACAAGTACAGATACAAAAGATGATATGCGAAATGTTCTGGTTACGTTTATACAGATACATACGTACATACATACGGAAATGGAAAGCTAAGCGAGGGAAATGGTGAAAACGTTGTAGCCGCGATAGCGTCGCGTTCTACAGTTAATTCGACTAAAAGCTCGAATGCGAAGCTGGCTAAATCGAGTTAATCCAAACAAAAGTTATAGGTAGATAGCCTATACGAATAGAAGAAGATATTTACATATAGGGTGGCCCATTTTAATATACTAACGAAAAAGTTTGCGGATATTTTGAAATTGTATGTGTCGAACGAAAGTAAGATAAAAATGATTAAAAATATTATATTAGAAAAATGAAAATAAACAAAATGCTAATGAAAATAAATCTCAATATTTTTGTTGTTGTTGTTGTTTTTTTTTTTCTTTTTTTTTTTTTTTTTCAATTGCATTTACTTCCCTATACATATCTATTTATGAATCAATATAAGCCACTCTGTATATACGGTCCTCATGGACGGGAATGGCAACTTGCAAAGTACATAGATCCCTGCGAAATAGCAAAAGTTTCGACGTAACGAAAATAAAGTATCAAGGTAATGGTGTGGTTACGAACGAACGAACGCACACGGATGAATAGATATTCTCCCATCATATATATATATATATATATATATATATATATATATACACGCACACATATACACATACAGGTACATTGGAATATCAGGATTTCCGATAGCCAGGGGATTCGAAGTAACTACTTTAAGCGTTTCGGGAATCTTCGATAGCTACTCGAGATACGGTTAAACGGGGAAACTTATCCCGACTCATCGAGAGCAAAAGGCAGGGATGCCAATATTGGTTTGTCGAATGGAGAAGCATATCTTGGAAACGTTAACGTTACGGAGGATAGGCGTGCTCGTACGAGCGAAAATGGTCCATTTACGAATGGATAAACAAAGGGTGAAGTAAAATACAAGGGAAATCGTTGGAAAAGACTACCAGAGACACGAGAGATTAAAGTCGTGTAGTATAAACGTTGCGAATCATGTGGGCATCGAACACTATGTTTCACCTTTTTCATCTTACTTCATTCTCGCTTCAGAAAGTAATTGTTCAAACTGGAAAATTAATTGTGAAGATGTAACGAATAAGACAATATTAAAATAACGACGAATGATTATAAATATTTATTAATCAAATTTACATTCATAATTGTTCAATCGTATAATTAATCGATTCACACATACACACACATACACACACAATATATATATATATATATATATATATATATATATATATATATATATATATATATTGAATGATAGTCCAAGCAAGACACTAAAGGATGTGCCTATTCAGTAACATAACTCGAAAAGGAGTATAGGCTTTGACATTAAATGTCTCATTTCATCTGCTTCACCAAACTTTTTCCTCTACCATCGATGAACGTCGTCGATTCTCGAGACGTTCAAATTTCCGGTTCAGTCGATCGTACCCCCGAGGCGCTCACTCCTACTACCAGGATGTGTTTCCTACAGGATGTTGTATCCTTAATGTGTTTACCTTAGCTCCTGACCCCGATCGAAATCTCTGGGAACTTCCATAGCTTACGTTCCTTCTTTTTCCTTTCCCCTACCTCTTTTTTTTCCTTTCTTCTTCTTCTTCTTCTTCTACTTTCTCTTCTTCTTCTTCTTCTTCTTCTTCTTCTTCTTCTTCTTCTTTTACTAGAATCTATCTCTTGCTTGAGAACGTCGAACTCACGCTGGGTTCCCTGTAATCTCGCTTAAGAAAATATACTGTGCCTGCGATTTGGTTGATATACTATAGTCGAAACATTTCATTATAAATAAGAATTATTAAAAGGTTTATACGTTATACGTGGATGAAAAATATTGAAAATTATAAGAATCGTTTATATCAGAAGTGAAAAGTGAATTTTGCTTCGTAAAAATGTTGTTCTTTTGAAAAATCATTTAAATCTGTATCGTATGTATGTAATTTTAATTAGAGTTACAATTAATTGTAATGCAATTGATTTTGTCTGAAAATATATATTATGTCATTCTTACGAATAAAAATCTCCGTTTCATTTAATTTATTAATTGCACGTATTTATACAAATTATATGACATTTTTTTTCTTTTTTTTTTCTTTTTCTTTTTTTCTCTCTTTTTCTTTTTTTTTTTTTTTCCTATGAGGAATAATTTTGCGCATCGGTACAAAATCACGTATAATATTTCATCGATATTAACGGGAAATGCGTTAACACGTATTTTACATTTGGAAAAATTGTTCCCTGTGCGATAGGAGATCGTACAAAATTTCAGAATTTACAATGAGACAAATTTAACGTGAGTCATGCAATTAATGGGAAATTCGATTAGCAAAGTAGCGTATGTAGAGAAAGCGCTTTGTTAGAACAATGTGGGCGTACGCATTACTATACTTCAACTTGCGAACGATACGTTCTGTACACATCACGGTTACTCGAACGTGCTCGCGCGCGTACATTACAAATTCAATTTGACGTCGCATCAGACTACGATACAACGTCGATCCCTATGCTAATTCGATCTCGCAATGAGAGTTGAACTCAACGGGGATGAGATTTTCGCTTCTGCTTCTCTCTCTCTCTCTCTCTCTCTCTCTCTCTTTCTCTTCCTTTGTCTTTCTTTTTCTATCTCTCAGTCATTCCTGTGCTCTTTAAATAATTTCACGTGTTAAATATTAGTTACATCGAAGAGATGATATTCGCTTTATTGCATGCACGTATATATGTATGATATGTATAATCGAAAGATAAAATCAAAATGATCGTTGACTCTGAGATAAAGAATCATTAATAAATTAAATACAATAGTAAAAGAAAAAAGATCTGTTTAAGTTTAAATGGTATAAAATGGTATATGGGCGCCATACTTGTTTCCTTTTCTTTTTTTCGTTTTTACAAAGCACATTAAATGATGCAACGAAAGCGCGAATGCAACGCGTTGATGCAAAGTAAACGAACGAACGCGCGATAATTCTTTCGGTCGAACGATAAGGGATGACGAGGGTAAAAAAAAACAAAAAAAAAGCGAGAGAGAGAGAGAGAGAGAGAGAGAAAGAGAGCTCCATTTATAATCCCTCGGATAAAAGCTCGGTAGAGACGTTCATAGCGGGGTTTTCAGAATTAACGTAAACAAAAGCGAACCGAGTATGGGTGAGGGCAAGGGATGGGAGTAGTGAGATCAAACGTTCCGTTCGCCTACACAACGACGACGCATCATGCGCGCGCGCGTTCGCTCAGATTCTCGTTAACGTGAGAGTACTTTTCTCTCTCTCTTTCTCTCTCTCTCTCTCTATCACTATCACTCTATCACTCTATGTATTTGTATTAGTTTATTTATTCGCCGTTATTTTTTCTTGTTCTTTTTTTTCTTTCTTTTTCTTTTTTCTTTTTATTTCGTTTTGCTGTCGGTCGCAAAAAGTACATTCATCGTACGCAACCAATTTCAAAACCATTTGAAGTTTTTGCCTCTAAAATACATATTATAACTTATTAGAAATTTTCGAACAGTATGTTCTTTCTTTAGTTTGTACTTTGAAAAAGATATTGCACATGTATAGAATGTCATCTTCGATATTTAAAATTTCGTATGAACGTGAAAAAAATTGAAATAATCGTAATCGTAAATCTTTCATAATCGTACGTATTTTTATTCGTATTGATGTTTAACGATACAACTGGCACCTAATCATTTTATTTACATTTAATTTTCTCTTATTCTTCTTGATTTTATTTTTAATCATTAATATTCACTCTAAACATATCCGTTTAATTTACTGTAATACGATAAGAGGTATATTCTAAAACGTAAGCATTTAATATCTTAATTAATGATTTAAACGGGAATAGGAAAGTCATGTTATTGAATAATATCATTTATTTTATTATATAAAATTATAGCTAAAGTCAATGAACGATATATAATATGATGTATTTAGATGAAAAATTCGGAAACCCTTCCTTCGAATAGGACTTAGTCATCGATGTCGCAATTGGACAAGGTCTTTCGATGAAACACGAGAGGAGTAATGCGTTTATGGGTGTGCACTGGCACACCCAGAGCAACATTAACTGTCTTCTGCAACGACCAAACAACGACGGCCGCTTGTTCATATGCCAGACACGATTTTCTACTTAGCACGAGAGAAACCTAACCACTGAACTCTCAGAATCGAGAGGTACACATAACCCATCTTCTGTGCCCTCGATACCCATTCCAGATTTCTCTCCACTTGTCCCATGGGAAGAGCTTGGAAAACGGGACACCCTTTTCTCTTCATCTTCTTCTTTCTCGTTTCTTCCTTTGCCACTCTCTGCAAGTAAATTGATAGATTGGTCCGCGACCTATGAAGCCGAGTGTTTTTCAGAGATATGCTCTCCGGCATGATGGATTCGATCGTGATTCCTTGCGAAATGGTATTTGGAAAATTTCGTAAAGAGAATCTCCCTCTTTTTCTACTCTCGAGAATAGAATATAAGATTTATTAGACTATGTAGATACGAATATATTAATCTTTTTAAAAATTTTTCACATTTACAATATCCATACATCGTATGACTTTATTATCTTTTTGATATTATATTACAATTTCATTTTCAAATAAATTTTGAAAAAAAGAATCTTGGAAAAGGTATTACAATAAATTGAACGGTTAAAAGACATTGAACACGTTGAAGATATATCTGATAAAATTTAAGGATCTTTTTTGAACATAAAGGGTAGAAAAAAAAAAGGGAAGAAGCAGTGGATTAGTACGGTTTAGTCGAGAACGACGAAACCTTACGAGGTTTTATATCGCCCTGTAACAGGATTACGTTCATTTGTTGCACCAGTGAAACCATCTTAGCATTACTGAACTTAATCCCAGCCGAAGTTAGCCGGTCCACAGACTTCTTCCTCTCTTGGGATCATCCAAGATTTATCTCAGATATATATATATATATATATATATATATATATATTCTTTTTCTTTTTTTTTTTTAAGAGAAAGAAAAAGAATCCGATGGAAGCAAGCTCTATCGTTTTTCTTCTTTTTTTCTTTTCTACGTGATCGAGTAATATCAGAAGATTCAATCCTCTTTTATATTTTCGATCCTTTCCTATGATTCCTCGGAGATACTCGAAGTTATTAAATAAAACAGTTATGTAAATTTTACTTGCAATATATTATTTCTTCTTATATTCTTTATTAACAATAACGATAATAATTTTTCCTTATCAAAGAATGTCATAAAAAAAAAATATATATATATATATTTGTTATTCAGAAGAACGGACGAAGTTGGAAGCGATTGTTTTAGTATTTGAAGCATGAGGATTATTTTGAAATATATTATACTCTGGATAATAGCTTTGAAACTTTGTGAAATCTTTTGTAGCAATAAATTTATTTTCATAGAGCGCTACTTCTTTAAAGATTTTATATTAACTGTCTAACTTTAATTCATATCATTGTGCATTACTTATTTATTTATTTAATAACAAATATCATTGTGATGTGCCATTATTATATATATATATAAAAAAAAAAAAAAAAATGAAATTATTGTTGATTGAATATTTTTAATATTAATGATCGAATATTTCATTTTATAGAAATAATAAATAATGAAACATTTTTGTATTAGTAATTTGTTTTAATTTTCTTCGTCGAAAGTAATTTGTGTTTAATGTTATGAAATGAGAGTACAATCAATATCGAAATTTGAACTATGTTACAGTCGATAGCTAGTAGTGAAATTGTGCAATAGACAAGACTCGTAATTAACAACGTCGAAAGTGTCTCGAGGTAAGCGGAAATTAATTTGTTTCTCGCGATGCCTTCGCTTAAACCTCCAACCGAATAAAGAGGGTAGGATCTTATCGTTTTCTTTGCTCCTTCGTGTTTGTCTTTCTTCCACGAGACTACGAACTACAGAGTAGAAAGTTGCTTAATCTTCTTAGTTCGCTTAACGCTCAACTTCCCTTTCGCCATCGTCTTAACTATCGACATGGGTATTCGAAACGCGCGCGCGCGCACGTGTGTGTGTGTTTATATATGTATTTTTAGATAGTAAATATATAAAAAATATTTCATATACTTTATTGTTTCTTTAAACAATTTTGCAATTAATGTTAGATAAAGATTATTATTAAGTCGTGGTCTCTCAATTTATATATTATATAGTTGAATTATTTAAAAATGAACTATTTTGGAAGTAAAGTTACTTTTAAATATTTTATATATATATATATACACATATAAAATAAATATTTATTTACTATTATGCAATTTTCCAAGAGAAATTTTGTTGAATTTTATAAAAAAAAAAAAACAAAAAAAAAATTGAGATTTACGAATTCTTGCGAACGATGTCGAATAGAACTCACGACAAGAATGAATTTCGCAATTATACTCGCGATTGATCATTCAATAATAAAAATAATAATAATGATGATAATAATAATATTAATAATAATAATATTCAATCGTTTACGTACGAGGGATCAAACGTAGGAACATGGAGGCTGCTAGAGGAAAATTAATAGCGATCCGTTGTTTCTACGGCGAAGCGTGAAATAGAAATTGCAGTCACGGAGAGATCATGCGAAATGGCGGAAGCAGAAGGAAACTTTAGATTGCTCCTCGAAAGTTTCGTCACGCGAGAAAGCCGTAGCGACATCGACGAGGCTTAGGCAGTTTGAGTTTCGAATGACGAACGCCATTCGCGTGAGGACATTTTCGACTTTATAAATGGATGTCTTCTCTTCATGAACAACTTGTTACTCGTTTAAGAGCAAATCATTGCTTTTAGTAAGTATCCGTAGTTTATTCCATAGAAATATGAAGACTTTCCTTTTTTTTTTTTTTTTTCTTCTAATTGAATAATTTTTTTGACGAGGAGAATTTAAAAATTCGTCGCATTAATTAAATGAGATGAATTTTATAAATAAAAACTGATACCTATACATTTTAACAATGACATAAAATACGAAGTGATCTTTTTACACGTGTTTCTTTTTTTCTGTTTTTCTTTTTTTTTTTGCCTTTTCCCTTTTTTTTTCCAAATGCTTTTATAAAATTTAAATATTCAACTTGTATGATGAATATTAAAATAAATTTACATCCATCTTGACGTCTCGTTGAACTTTGCTACTTTAACAAAATAATATATAGATTATATTTTATTATTCGTGATTATTATTAAAACGAAGGATCAGGATATCCCATGTTTCTTTTTTTTGTTTTTCATATAGTAAAAGATACTATTAAATCGAGAATAAATGGATAAATATTATTATATTAGAGATGGATCGAAGACAAAATGATATTATTTTTTTTTTTCTTTTTTTTAAGAAAAATTATATATTTTTCTACATCCATTTTGATCACCTTGTATATTTTGGCACTGGTCCATGTAGCTCGACATTTTCAATAAAAAAGTATCAATCCATGTATTGCCAAAAAATTGTTAGTTTAGGAGATATTTTAATGCAAATGTTAGAAAGAAATTATATATAGAGATAGCAGTAAAATGTAGTAAGAGTAGTAATATTTTAAGAAAAAGAAATTTTTCGATTTTTCGATCTTTCAATTTCGAATATTATTGATTATTAATAAATCTTACATCTTTTATTTTATATAATCATAATAAAATTTATATAATTACAATAAAAAATTCAAATGATTTCATTATAGTTATGTCTTTATTACAAAAGAAAAGAAAGAATTCAATTTAAAAAATTAATAATAAAATCGATTATATTATATCGATATTATTACAATATTTAAATAAATAAAGCATAATTTACACTTGAAAATGGTACTTGTTTCAAGTCTCTACGACATTCCGTTCCGAAGATATCGCCTTCGAAAGATTTTCATTCATGATTCGTATACAACACCTGTTCGTAGTAATAGTATAGTAATAGTAATTTGATCAGCTGAGCGTCGTAAATTCTTGGAATTTATATAGGTCAGTACGTCATTGATCCAATTGATGAAATTATATAGGTTAGTGGGTCAACGTAAACGTTTTTCATTTATAGAAATATCTTCGGAACAAAAAATCGTAGAGACTTAATTCTAATATCATTTTAAAGGGCAAATTTTTCTCTATTTTTTAAGCGTATTGTTAATAATTAATTAACAAATTGTTATAAACAATTTTAATAAACAAATTCTTACAGAATAAATTTATATTATTTTACCAACTAAAAATTCAGATGGCGACTAATTTATAAAAATCACATAAATCAATGAACAATTAATAAACAAATTATTTTTTTAACAATAACAAAATTTTTTTTCTATATTATAAATAGCCATTTTTTTTTTCATTTACATGAGAATATCTACAGAACTAAAAGTCGTAGAGACTTGATTCTAATATCATTTTAAAGGGCAAATTTTTCTCTATTTTTTAAGCGTATTGTTAATAATTAATTAACAAATTGTTATAAACAATTTTAATAAACAAATTCTTACAGAATAAATTTATATTATTTTACCAACTAAAAATTCAGATGGCGACTAATTTATAAAAATCACATAAATCAATGAACAATTAATAAACAAATTATTTTTTTAACAATAACAAAATTTTTTTTCTATATTATAAATAGCCATTTTTTTTTTCATTTACATGAGAATATCTACAGAACTAAAAGTCGTAGAGACTTGATTCTAATATCATTTTAAAGGGTAGATTTTTTTTTTATTTTTTAAGCGTATTGTTAATAATTAATTAACAAATTGTTATAAACAATTTTTATAAACAAATTCTTACAGAATAAATTTATATTATTTTACCAACTAAAAATTCAGATGGCGACTAATTTATAAAAATCACATAAATCAATGAACAATTAATAAACAAATTATTTTTTTAACAATTACAAAATTTTTTTTCTATATTATAAATAGCCATTTTTTTTTCATTTACATTGGTATATCTCCGGAATTAAAAATCGTAAAGATTTGAACCAAAAGCTCAAAGTAAGACCAGAATAAATGTAGAATAAACGCAGGGTAAACGTTTATAAATTGATAACCTTCCGACATACATAGATTAATATTTTTTTTATAGAGAATGTTAAGGTGCATCAGACTAATGCTATTAGAAATATATGATTTCATTCGAAAATAAAAAATAAAAACAAAGCGTCCATCTGCAAGAAAAATTATTACTGCCATAGTATTGCCTCCCTCATACCTATATAACTTTTGTAAAATACAGAGAAACAACTTTTGTTTCTTCTGTATCTTCAAAAAGAACGAAAATATTCAAAGTAAAATCAAAATTATAGCTATACCTTATATATACACGATATATAAGATATATCAAAAGCCTACTCTCAGATACGTTCGTGCAAAAGGACATTATACAAGAGATTTGTTTGAACGTGGTATAGTCGACCAAGGAAACTAGAAGTATTTGTTCATTTCTCTTTCTCTCTCTTTACCTTTTTCTTTCTCTTTCTCTTTTAGTCTTTTTCGGTCTCAAGGGATATATGCACATATACATACATATACATATGTATATTTCAAATCGGAATATTTCACATCGTCAAAAACGTCTTATCGTGATATCATGAAGAGAAAGCGTTTCCATGGTTACGTTGTAGCGTATATTTCTTACATATGTATATACGTATGTATGTATACACGTATAAATATAAATACAAGTAACCCTATACATACTAGATATATGTATGTGTATTTGTATGTAAATATATTTACTAGAGGAACATCTCTGGATATCGTTCACCAGCGAGATATCGAATTGCGTAGTCATACGTGAATGTAGACACGAATGATGCTGAGATCGGGCTGAGAAAATTCTGACCTTCCCGTCTTACCTATCCACGGAATTTTCGAGGATTGAGGAAAATGTAGGGAATGTCTATGGTAGTGTGTAGAAACGTGCAATGTATTCACGTACGAGTAACGCTCAAATCCACGAAAGGGATTTTCAGACGATGATCCACACACGAAAGATCGTACTATGAAAAAGGAGGAAAAGAAAATGAAAGAGATAGAGATACGGTAGCTTTTCTTTTCTTCTTCATTGCTCTCTCTCTCTCTCTCTCTCTCTCTCTCTCTCTCTCTCTCTCTCCTCTCTTTTCTCTTGATTTCTTCCTATTTTCTATTTCTTCATCTTCCTTTATCCCTTATCTCTTTATCTTTCTACGTATATATAATCTTTTCTCTTTTTTTGCTTTCCTTTTATTAATTATTCATAGTAAATTTAAAAAATTACGTAACATCTCAAATGAAGAATTTAAAAAAGAAAATTTTGTCTCTTTTGTAATATAATGTTACACAAAACAATAAAGTTCCAAATATAATGATATACTAGATTAAAAATTATAAAAGAAATTGATTTACTATTTTATAAAATATTTAACTAAGATTTACATTGCAATAACCATTGCAATATTAATTCAAATTGTATATAAGATGTAATTAATCAGATCAGTTATCTCTCAGTGAGTATAATAAAGATTGTTACGTCTCTTTCAATGCATGTCTCTTTTTTTATTTTTATTCTATGTTTCTCGTGATATTCACATCTTAAAATCCATACGTTGAATACTCAAGATATTTACTACGGCAGATAACTTCACAATATATACGATTTCACGATCCGGTGAGCACAGTGGTAATAACCATCAAGAGCTTCTTACGATACGTTCAAAACGTTTTACGTGGTTAGAACGATGTGATTTTCGATATTTCAAATTTTTTACGATCATCCTTATATTATTATATAGACATGGGTTTGTTACGAAAAAAAAAAAAAAAAAAAAAAAAGAAAAAAATAAAAGAAGAAAGAAAAATGTCGGCATATTTTTTAAATTATATTAAAACTTATGAGAATTTACGAGAACAACGATTAGAAATAACGTAAAATTATAAACCCTGGTGGTCATCGTACTCGTAAATTTATGTACCTTTCCTAAGGGCTGCACGTGGCATAGTTCGTGATAGGTCGTTTCTTTCTAACAAAAGAAGTAAGATTAAATGTAGTGGTAGCAGTAGTAATAGTAGTAGTAGTAGTAGTAGTAGTAATAATAATAGTAGTTGTTATACTAGTGATAGTAATAAGAGGATGAGAAGAAGGGAAAAGTTAGTCGATAGAAAGAAGAAGAAGAACTTTGCCCTCGCATCGGCCAACGCCGTCGCCGCCGCCAACGCCGTCGCCGCCGTCGGCCCATGCCTTTTTCATAATTGATCGTCCGATCGATATCCGTTCTCTGGCATATTCTGCTTTCAGGACTCGAGGCGGAATTGTACTACGTCAGAGAGGGGGTGGTCAACGCGTACGCCATGAATTTTGTCGTTCCGGTGCCAGCGAATATAGCAGATCTTGAATTTTCCTGGCAGAGTCTAGCCGGTCACCCGGTATGTACGCACGTCTTTTTTCCTTCTTTTTATTCTTTCCCATTGGATATATCGTCGTCAAACTTTATATCGCCAAAGACTAAATGTCGAAGAATATTTTTTTCCCGTTAAAGCTGAAACGAAATAATAAACGAAGAGAAAGTGAAGGTCGATGACCGGAGTATATGTAAAATTAATTGTGATAATATGAATATTATTTTATTTTATTTTTTTATTTTTTATTTTTTATCCTTTAAATACAACCACCACTTTAGATTTTATATTCGAAATATTTTTATTCAATCGTTTTATTTTGTTTCAAAACAAATACCAATATTTTAGTTTTAAACTGGATCAATCGGTGGTTTTGAAATCATATAACTTTTCTATCGAACATATTTTGAAACAGATATGGTTTAATAGTTATCGTTTTATCTTTCATGATCACAGATGTTATATCTTATTGCAGATGTTAATAGATACACGAGATAAATATAGATCTTATTTGCATAAAACATGTTAAATATTCGCTTGGTCAGTTGAATCAAATGGCGAGAGATAGTAGTGGTCCTTTAAGTGTTAAGTCATGGTATGCTCGTTTAAATGAACGCGACTATATATATATATATATATATATATATCGATACATATGTACATAAGTAGATACATACACGTGTATACATACAGAAACGCGTAGAGAGGGCTCTAGAGCATCGTCACGGTAGTTTAGCAAGAGGGTGTTCGATGAGAGAAGGTGGAGGACTTGGTCGAGGACTATATCAATACTCTATCAATATGAAATACAAACAAGCGATGGGAGAGTGGCAGTCCGTGCCTCGATTTTACTTTCCCCCTTTAGTTACCAAGGAAACCGAACTCACCCTGTAAAACACCCCTCTACCACCACCTCCCACCCTCGTCTTTCTTCCTTCTTCTATCCAATCGGACAAGAGAAAACGCGAAAAGTCGTGACTTCGTTCGGACATTAAACGACAAGGAAATCGTGACTACGTGACTATCGTTTCTCCTTTCACTTATCTCTCTCATTTCAAATTCTTGAAATGTATACCCCCGTTTTAATCGTAAAGCATTAAATGAATTCACACGAACATGATCATATAGAAATATAATAGTTATATAATGATTATCCATATAAAATAATAGAAAACTTTGTCTTTATATTGTATATGATTCGTGTTAAATGTTAACTACAAATAAATACGATATAATCCACGGTGAAAACGTTATTTTACAAATATCCATATGCAATAGCAAATCCGATAAAATTAAAAAAAAAAAAAAAAAAAGAAAAATATCGATCTTTGAATTAAAACATCAATATTTCAAAATATTTCAATATTTTGAAATTGCGATATGTGATGGTCAAAAAATAATGACCTAATACGAATATTTGGGATATGATGTTAATCCGAAGAAATTAATTAATTATCGTTTAATTTCAAATTATATCGAATTAAATCAAATTATAATCACACTTAACAATGTAGAATATTAAATAATTAATTAAGTTTCACGAAAAAGTTTGAATGACATAAATCAGTAACGGTACATACTTTTTATCAATATGGATAACGTCACGATCATCTTATAAATGTCGCAAGTGTACCGACGTAAAACGCAGAAGGTAGAAACGCGAGGTAGGATTCAATCATCAGGGAAATGCAACGACGCGTACCCGTATGCGAGGGAGTCTCCTCGTATACGGTCGAATGCTTCGACGCTTCCATAATTTCATTCGCCTTTGAACGGAACAATTTGCATCCCATTACGAATCGATTGCTTTCTACCGTGTCGAGCTAATAAAAAATGTTTCGATTCGTCGAACCGATTCGACGAAAATCGATCGTACGATTTCATTTTAATGAATGCTCAATGCCAAAATTTTACGATTTCATTATTATTATAAATGAAAATTTAAATATGAAATGTTACATTAAAACATTATAAATCATAATAATAATCAGTCATGATTATAAAATAAACCATTGAACGCGTAACAATGTATATTACCATTTACAAAGATCTCATTTATTTTATTTGAATTAACATGAAACGAGGACAAATATTAAACATTTATATTCCATAGTATAGTCGCAATTAATAATTGCACTGAATTTAATGTGAACGAATTTCAACGCGAAACGTAGCGTATATAATTATCATAAATAGTAAGTTATTACATATATCTCTCGTGGTCTATTATAAAAATCATGAATATCTAATACGTAATAGATTTTATTTTATTTATTTAGTTATAAAATTAACGAAACAAGATTTATCATCGAGAAAATATAGAAATCGATATTTAAATAGACAAATCAAATTGGAGTAGATATCCAAGAGATTTGCAAGTTTATATTGTATGTATACATATCTAGTAGTTGAACGTGTCTATTCGCGTAACAGGGTCGCAACCCCAATTACACGTGCTGTATCGTTCGTCTATCCGTTCATCTGTGTTCACGAAAACTTCTAGTCGTGCGAGGGAATTTACGTTCTCGTCCCTTCGCAATGTCTGACTCACCATCGCTGTTTCTACTCGTGGATATCGATAAAGACAATCTCGGATGATCTTGGTGTATCGATAATCTGGTTATCTATACAAATCGTTTGATGTGATTCGTTCGTGACTCATAACAATTTATTACTTTTCCTTGATTATCAAAGAACTCGAACCAATCGATATATAGTAAAATACAAATTATATATTCTATAAATCGTCGAGTATATTTTGAAATAAAGTAAAAGTACGAATCTATGTTGATTTTAAAAGATATTAAAACTATAAGAAATTTTTTTTATATTTTTAATCTTTTAAAAGATTCTTATATATATATATATTGTTTATAAAATTTATACATTGTTTCTTTATAATTAATAACATTTCTTTCACTTATACTCGACGCAAGTCTAATAACAAACATTTTGTTCAATATTTTTTACTTGGTTATTTCTTGATTTTGTTAAACTATATTATTTATATCAAACCATTCGAATCTTAAAATATATATATATATATACATACACGTTTTTTAATTTCACATGGAATACAATCGGCTGATATTATAAGTATTAGTGTTACTTAAGATTAGTCGTTCGAGATCGTCTCATTTCACAAACTTCCCTTGGTATGTTCGAATCGAGACTGTCCATCCGATTGTCCCAATTATCCTGACGTTCGATCTAACCGAAATCGAAGGGTATAAGATTTGCTCGGGCGATCGAGTAACGTCGAATTCACGATAAGATGAGGGTGCAAGGCTCGCGCCCCTTCCTTTTTTTTGGTGTACGACTGTAGATAGGGGCGCTTGTGTATGCTCTATTGCTTTAGATGGCAATAATATCCTTTTTTTTTCTCTCTTTCGGAACGAAAGTACGCCCCATCGAGTTCCCATCGGCCTCGAGAGACCGACGGTATTACAAGTAATTGTCGCCCTAGGGTGGTCGTGCATCTACCCCTGTCATATCCACCCCATTTTACACAACATCCAACTCTCTCCTCTTCTGGTTTTGCTATTCGCGGAGAACGGTGCTAACAATAAGGGGGAAGAAGAAGTGATAAGGAGCTTTCGCTTAACAAGTGGATGATTCACAAATCATCCTGAATTCAAGTTTATTCCCAAAACGTTTGAAATTTGATGGACATGAAATTGAAAGGAAAAAAGAAAAAAAAAAGAATAAACAAAAAATAAAATAAAAAAAGTTGTTTCTTTTCTTTTTTTTTTTTCTTATTACAGATATGAAACATTCATTTTCTTAATCTTCAATCATTTCTATTGATAAGATCGTCGAATTTTTAAATATAAAATTAGTTTGGATTTAAGGTATAATTTGGTGGGCCTAATGTTTTTAAGTAATATTTACCATCAATTAGATACTCTTTCATGAAACTTTCTTAGAATAATATTTTTCAGATTGTAAAAAAGATTCCCGATTTGTAGTTTTATAATCTGACAAAAAAATTAGTTTTGAAAGTCTCGCTTAAGAACTTTTTGTCTATATATATATATATATTTATGGAGAAAGAGAGATTGAGGTCATTCATTTTAAAAAATAAATGATCTCAATCTCTCTTCATTTCAAAAAATAAATGACCCAATTTAGATCAGCAACCATTATTTTCTAGCTACAAATACATCAATCTTAATGACCTACTTCGTTTTCTTTTTACTTTCTTATTACAAGTCAAATTGAAAATCGACAGCCAGTAAAAGAAGCTGGAAATGAAAATCCTTTATATCTTCGAATCATCGATTTCTTTAATCTTTCCAACATCGAGAGGTCAAAGGGCCAAAGGGATGCCATCGAAACGATTGTCGACAAAGACGAATTGTAATTATAAAGGAACCGTGTTATATAAATCGGGAAGATTGTCCTAGAAAAGCTTTAGAGGATAAAACGAAAGAAGATAATCAGTAGAAATTGTTTCAATATATTGATCGCATCAAAATATAATTATTTAAATAATCCTTTTCTTTTACAATAAATATTCAATACGTGTATAAATGTATAAAAGTGTGTATATGGAGTAAATATTTTTCCTTCTGACATATATATATATATATTTTTTTTTAATTATTTATTTATTTATTTTTTTTTCTTTTTTTTTCATCACCAAGGAAATGAATTTGGTGCGTTCAAAGTGGCGTTCTCGTTGAAAGAAAAAAGAAATAGGGAGGGGAAAAGAAAAATAGAATGAACACACAAATCCTTTCGATTGTTAGCTCATTCATTACGAATTTATGACCTGCCGTCGTTCCCGATGCATATGAGAGCGCCGAAATACGTGATCTACGATATTTCATTTTGATAGTTGCGCGCGTGTAACCGTCGATTACCGCGGCTGCCGTTAATTAATTAAATTGCGGCCGTAAATAATCGATCGTATTTTCGTGCACGTTGGCAAACAGTGGTATAGACATTGTCGAAATCGTAACGATGGTCATTGACGTTTACAAACGAATACGAGATTATAACTCTCCTCTTTGATATCTTTATAG